GGGGGGCAAAAAAAGTTAATGGTTAATCAGAATAAATTCATGATTTGTAAGGTGAAAAGCATATGTAGACACTTAAGAACAAAATTCCTTTTCAGATGCGTATTCATGTCTTAATCGCAGCAGGAACTGCAAATATGCATCTAAAGACAGACTTTGCCCTTATCTTGTATAAAATAAAATTAAATGTTAAGGGTCAAAGACTGCCATTGTTCCATATGCAGAAACTTGAGTGAGGCTGATGTGAGTTTTATATGCAGAATGGTGCCTGGTTATGGCCCCCAAAGCCTGATTTTGAATTAATGCCATGGCATATTTTCCAGTAACAGGATTACTGCAACTACACTTCAAATATGAGTTAAGTTGAAAGGGAAAATAACCTTGATGATCTTACCTGAGACCCAAGTGAATTCTTAACAATCTCCCTGAACTCAAAATACATTTTTTGAATTGTTTATGCTTTGTACAGCATATAAAGTAAGGGATGAAGCAATACAAAGCATCTCAAAATGGGACTAGATGCAGCATTGGAGACCAATCTGTTGGCAATAATTTGACAAGAGTACCAGGAAAGATTAGAAAATTAGTTCTGTGTCTGCTGCATATACCTAAAGGAGTGATCCTACACATGTTTAGACTGGTTGGGACTGTTGCACATTGTAGGACTTAGTACTGTCTAAACATGCAAAGCATTTTGCTCTAAATGTTACAAAGTGAAGTATAGTTGTTCATTCATTTCTAATGTGTCATGTGAAGTTCCTCAAAACTGAGTTCCTTTGCAGATGTCCTTCTGAATTTTCTAAATAATGTTCACTGTTACAGTGCTCTTGCCTAATGTTAACTGACATGAAATGAAAACTCGGCTCATATAGAAATCCAGGAATAACAACAGTATTATGTCTGTAATTTCTTCCCCAAGACCTGGGTTCTCCATGGTTAGGCACTATTTTGTCCTTCAGTGAGACTAACTGTGCTTCTGTCCAGAGTGTGGAACTTGTCAGGAATATGATACATTTGGTTGGCAAATAAGCTGAATAGCCCATCAAACATTACCTGTTCTTGTGTTATACTGAAATTCCTTTATATTTCTAGAATAAGAAGAAACAACTATGCAAAACACCTGTGGGACATGTTCCTAATCCATGTGCAATATATCAGAGTTTCCCAACCTTTTGGGTCAGTGGACATTCTTGGGATTTTAAGAGTATCATGGGTGACCTTACAAAATGGATGCCATGGGAGTCCCTTGATCATTCATGATATGGCTGCTGTGAGGGGCATGGCCAGTCACAAAACATTCATTTCCCAGAAGGCAAACTAGGGACACTGAAGAAAAGTAAGGGCCTAAATACAAGGCAGAGGAAGAGTCTGAAACTCAAAGGACAAAACCACTCATTCGATCTCATTTGAGAGATTCAGGTAATACATAACTTATATACACCTGTGCAATATTAAGTGTGTGTTTCCAAGCCCATGTTACAGTGTTGGTTGTGACTTATACCACACAAAGTCTTACACATGTTTAGATTCTATGTAGTGCTGGTTGGAAAATACTGGAAACAGAGGGACTTTTTTCTTATGACTGTATTTTTAATTTTATTTTCTGTCTGAACATGCATAGGATTATGTCCTCAAGTCTTAAATTGTTTGGGCCCAAATTACTTGAAGGACAGAAGACCTGCTCTTGGCAAAGACAGAAGCTAGCTGATATGCATCAGTGCAGCTACCTGTATCTCTGAACTATTCTTGGGTTGCAGATATTTATTAATTTATTATCTCACCTTTTTCCCATTGTGGAACTCAAGCTGGCTACATGTGATTCCCAGGTGGTCTCCCCTCCAAGCACAGACCAGGCCCAGAGTTGCTTAGCTTCAACATGGTGGGCACCTTATGTGCCATCAGACCATACTCAGAGTCGAGTTATAGAATGTCATGGTGAATGCCTGCCCTTCAAAGCTTGCTACATCACTGCTTGCCTGGAAATGCCAGGCCTGCAGTAGTGCAATGGGGATAGAGGTTGGAGATCATGTACCATGCAATTCCACACCCAGATCGGTATTCTGACCACATGTCTTAGGAACTGTCTGTGAAATAATAGTTATTTGCTTCATGCCACTGTTCCTGTCCTCTTTTTTGTCATCTGATCTCTCCATCTAAACACAACAACAGAATAGGTAACTGGCAATTTTGTTCGGGTATACTTATGGGAGTTGGAACGATATTCACTAGCCACGTAAAAGCTGTAGCAACGATTGTGGTTTAAAGTGAAAGCAGGAAAAGCTAAGTGGGAGCATTGTGAGTCATTTTGCCAAATCGGTTTCAGATAAATTCTTGTATTTTTGTATCTGATCATGGAGACAGATTTTTTAAAACATTCAAAATTCAGTTGACTGTTAGTCAAGAACAAACTGTAGGATTTGAAAGCTAACTATATTTGCATAATAGCCACCTTAATTTTAGTCCTGGGTAATAATACAATATGTATTCTTCTGATCATAATTTTCCCTTAAAAACAGCACTGTTAATTCTGTCTACTGCCCAATCATTCATTAACTGAACTATGATAATTAAATGAAGGTGCACATTGGCAAATCTGGCTTAATAGTTATATGAATGAGAGTAGACCCAGAATCTTGACTGCTACACAAGATTGGCAATATTTTTAGTTATTCTGGGTGCAACTGTATACATTTTTAACCGTTTTCTGATGTTAAACAAATGTTTGGCCTCAGGAGGAGCGGGGGGAGGGCTAGTGGGCATAGTGATTTCACAGGAGGGGCCAAGGAGTATACTACTACTTAGCAACCTGACAATCTCTTTCTTCCCAAGATTGTCAGATTTTAAGCTTATTTATTTATTTATCGATCTATATCCTGCCTTTTTCCTACAAAGGGCTCAAGGCAGCTTACATCATTCTCCTCCTCCATCTTATCCCCACAACAACACCCCTGTGAGGTAGGATGGGCTGAGAGTCTGTGACTGGCCCAAAGTCACCCAGCTGGCTCCGTGGCTGAGATGGGACTAGGACCCGGATCATCTGAGTCCCAGTCCCATGCTCTTGACCACTACACCACACTGGCTTTCCAATGTGAGAGAGTTCCTTTCATCTCGTTTCTGCATAACTTTAAAATCACAATAGAAATGATTGTGTTCTGTCCATGCATTTTAGCAGTGCATTTTGCAAGTTCTTTTATGGACATATTGCAGTTTTTTGCATGCTTTGCTCAGATATACCTATACTATGCTCCCTGTGCACATTTTTTGTGTCTTGCTTTTTTGAGAAGCTGTTTTACCAAGCTCAGTAAAGTGCAGAGTCCAGGAAACAATCCTTGACTTATATATTCAATTCAGGTGTGAAAATTTACATTAAAAACTTGGCATAACAAATTTCTCACTCATCCTTAGCCTTACTTCCTTTTTCACACATTCAGTGTATGTGTGGAGAATGGATAAAGGAAGAGGGCAAGTTCTTCCTCCTCTGAACTGTGTGTCAAACTTCAATTTAAACCACAAAGGGACACGTGGAATCTGAGAAACTGACACATTTGTTATGAAGTAGGTTTTTGTGAACTAACATCCATTTCATCAGATGAATGACACATCATCCTAAATTAGCAGGCATGTTACACATGGGCAGCGGAGATGGGGGGAGGGTTAGAAGAAGGGTGGTGTCCAAAGGAAAGGAAATGCAAAAACAGCAGTGAGGTGTGGTAGTTAAAAAGCCGGACTGGGCCTCTGGAAGATCTGAATTTAGACTCTTTCCCACTCATAAAAACGTGTCTATGCCTCTTAAAAGTACTTGAGGGGGAGACAAAGGTCTTTACACATTAAACACCATCTTCTTTGTGGTTACATCTTACATTCCAAAGCTGATCCCATTCCTTGGCATCTAAAACAGGTTCTGGGGCTAAGCCCTGGTGCTGAGCCTAATCTCAAACTAAGCCCAGCTGTAGGAAATCCATGTGTCAGTTCTAATAAGGCAATCATTGTGACAT